AAACACACACACACAGGGGCACCTGGGTAGCTCAGGCAGCTAAGCGGCTGCCTTCAGCTCAGATTGTGATCCCGGGGTCCTGGGATCGAGCCCCGCATTGAGCACCCTGCTCAGCGGGAAGCCTGTTTCTCCCTCTCCCTCTGCTGCTCCCCCTGCTTGTATGCTCGCTCTCTCTGTCAAATAAATAAATAAAATCTTTTATTTATTTATTTATTTTTTAAGATTTTATTTATCTGAGAGAGAGAATGAGAGACAGAGAGCATGAGAGGGAGGAGGGTCAGATGGAGAAGCAGACTCCCTGCCGAGCAGGGAGCCCGATGCAGGACTCGATCCTGGGACTTCAGGATCATGACCTGAGCCAAAGGCAGTCGCTTAACCAACTGAGCCACCCAGGCGCCCGATAAATAAAATCTTAAAAAAAAATAAAATGCTCCCCACTATTAAAAATAAACAGACTCCATAATTTAAAAAAATAAACACACACACAGAACGCTTTTAAGTCAGATGGCAACACTTTCAAAATTTAAGCCACTTGCACCTATTAGAGAACTAACACAAACATTACAGATCACAATTAGAACAGGTCGTTCCCAGGGGACCAATGTGATAGGTCTGTGCTGGGGAGACAAGAGCTGGGTAAGCTAACGGCAATCTTGAGCGAACACGGTGATCAGGGTGGCAGGGCCCGGTGGGTACCAGGCACTCAGTAAGTGGTTACCGAAGCCATGACCTCCGGGACCGAAACAATTATTCCCTTGGTTAACATAGTGAAAAGGGGACCAGCCCTGAAATGGGGAAGCCAGGGTTCTAAGCTCGATTGTATGACCCTGGCTGGGATGTATGCTCTCCCCCCTCACACCCCTCATCAATAATGGTGTATGGGTGTAGACCCCTAACTTTGGACTCATGGATTGCCGGCCAAATGTGATCCATGGAACCTGGAGATTCGTTCTTGCTCCCTCTCTCTGGATCTGTCTGTGTCTCTCGATGTATTTTTTTTAAAGATTTTATTTTATTTTATTTTATTTTATTTTATTTTAAAGATTGTATTAATTTATTCGACAGAGAGAGACACAGTGAGAGAGGGAACACAAGCAGGGGGGAGTGGGAGAGGGAGAAGCAGGCTCCCCACAGAGCAGGGAGCCCGATGTGGGGCTCGATTCCAGGACCCTGGGATCATGACCTGAGCCGAAGGCAGACGCTTAACAACTGAGCCACCCAGGCACCCCTAAAGATTTTAAGTAATCTCTACACCCAGTGTGGGGCTCACACTCATGACTGAGATCAAGAGTCGCATGCTCCACTGACTCAGCCAGCCAGGTGCCCCTCTCTGTGTATTTTAATGCAAGTAAAATTCATGTAACAAAGCTAACCATTTTAAAGTAAACAATTCAGTGGCATGCAGTACATTCTCAGTGTTGTACAAACACTACCTCTGTCTAATTCCAAAACATTTTCACCACCTTGAAAAGAAACTCCACACCCATTAAGCAGTCACTCCCCACTCCCCGTCCCCCCCCCCCACCCCCCGCCGCCCGCCCCATCTGCCAGACCTCTCTGCGGAGTCCCCTATTCTGAACATTTCCTATAAATGGTTATACAGTATGTGACCTTTTCTCTTCACTTGGTATAATGTTTTGAGGTTCATCCATGTGGTAGGATATATCAGTTCTCCATTCCTTTTCTTGGCTGAATAATATTCTGTTGAGTTGCCCAGCTAATATTTTTTAAGCAAAATTAATTCCTTACTATCCGGAAGCAGATAGACCAACGGTCTCTCCCAGCCCTTTGCCGTGTTATGTAACCACAGCCCGCCGGGCAGAATGTTGCACTAACTGGATTGGACCTCTTAGTCACTGTAGTCAAAGCCGGCTCTAATTAATCAGATAATGTGAGCCATTCCAGTTTAATTCCACTCGAATAACATCATGACATCTGGGCACTATCAGGGATTATTGGCAGAAGAAAATAGATAACTATGATTAAAGCCTCTGAATGGATTTGATTCCTTTTTTTTAAAGAGTTTATTTATTTATTTGAGAGAGAGAGAATGAGAGAGAGCATAAGAGGGGGGAGGGGCAGAGGGAGAGGGAGAAGCAGGCTCCCTGCTGAGCGGGGAGCCCAACCCGGGACTCGATCCCAGGACCCTGAGATCATGACCTGAGCTGAAGGCAGATGCTTAACTGACTGAGCCACCCGGGTGCCCCTCTTCTTCAGTGTCTTTTATTCTTTCTCAGATATAGTGGGAGAAACCAAGGGGCCCTCACTAAGAAGGGAAGGAGCAGAGCCGATTTTTTTAAAGCAGTGGCTACCACATGAATAAAGTGGGTAGGGAAGAAAGTTGCGATTTAGAACTGCACGAGGTGGTCAAGTTGAGTCCTTGGGAGGTGGGATCAGAGAAGGAAAAGGATGAACCTTTCAAAGCCATAGTTTACTCAACCGAAAAATGCGAATGATAATCAAAAAGCGCTTCCCACTTATAAGTGAAATCAAAGGCTATTTGTCTTTCTTTGGCTTATTTCATGGAGGATGATACCCTGTAGGTCCATCCATGTTGTTGCAAATGGCAAGATTTTGTTCTTTTTTATGGCTGAGTGATACTCCATTATATATATATATGTATGTATATATATATATATATATATATATATATATATGTATGTATATATATATATATATACCACATCTTCTTTATCCATTCATTTCTTGATGGACACTTGGGTTGCTTCCATGTCTTGGCTATTGTAAATAATGCCATAGTAAACCAAGGAGTGCATATATCTTCCTTTCTTTTCGTTTCTTTTTTTTAAGATTTTATTTATTTGTCAGAGAGAGAGAGAGAGAGCATGAACAGGAGGAGCAGAGGGAGAGGGAGAAGCAGGCTCCCCACTGAGCAAGGAGCCTGATGCAGGACTCGATCCCAGGACCCTGGGATCATGACCTGAGCCGAAGGCAGACGCTTAACCGACTGAGCCACCCAGGCACCCTGCATATATCTTTCTGAATTAGTGTTTTCATTTTCTTGAAGTAGACGCCCATCAATGAAATTACTGGATAGGATGGTACTTCTATTTTTAGGATTTTATTCCCTTAATGCTCCCTTTATTTATTTATTTATTTATTTATTTATTTATTTATTTAGTAAACTCTACCCCCAATGTGGGGCTTGAATTCACAAGCCCAAGATCAAGAGTCCCATGCGCTACCGACTGAGCCAGCTAGGTGCCCGAGCTATCTTTCATTTTTTGAGGAAATTTCCTACTGTTGCTCATCATGGTGGCTGCACCAGTTTACATTCTCACCAACAGTGCACAAGGGCTCCCTTGTCTCGACATCCTCTCCGACACTTGTTATTTCTTGTCTTTTTTTTTTTTTAAAGATTTTATTTATTTATTCATGACAGACAGAGAGAGAGAGAGAGAGAGGCAGAGGGAGAAGCAGGCTCCCAAGGAGCAGGGAGCCCGATGCGGGGCTTGATCCCAGGACTCTGGGATCATGACCTGAGCCAAAGGCAGACGCTTAACCATCTGAGCCACCCAGGCGCCCTATTTCTTGTCTTTTTGATACTAACCATGCGGATGGTCGGCATACTATTGTGGTGAGCATTTTATCATGTGTTTAATTGTTGGGCCACTAGGTTGTACACTTGAAACTAATTTAATATTACATGTTAATTATACTTCAATTAAAAAAAAACCACTTCCCACTGTGAGGTATCATAGAAATTGTCAGCATTGGTTGCACATTCTGGTGATGCCATTGAAGGTCAGGATGTGCCACTCCAAAAAAAATGCTACCTTGGCGCAAGGATTATTTTGAGCTGAAGGCAATTGAGGATCAACAGATGCAGGAAGAGTTCTCTGGCCTCCCCTTATCTGCCTAGAGGCAGGGCATCAATTTCCTTTTGTGACAGTGTCCTCTCTTGTACCAGGAAAAGCAGAGCAACTTATCACTGGAGACAGAATCAGCACTGAGATGAGTCTGCGTAAACAGATGTTACTAAAATAACTCTTACCTTCCATTTGTTCCCCCATATATATCCTAGTCACTTCCCTATAATTTTTCATCCCTTGAAGCCCAAACCCCTTTTCTTTGTTAAAATGGTATATAATGGGGCACCTGGGTGGCTCAGTCAGTTAATTGTCTGCCTTCGGCTCTAGTCATGATCCCAGGGTGCTGGGATCGAGCCCCACATTGCATCGGGCTCCCTGCTCAGCGGGGAGCCTGCTTCTCCCTCTCCCACTGCTGCTCCCCCTGCTTGTGCTCTCTTGCTCTTTCTGTCAAATAAACAAATAAAATCTTTAAAAATAAATAAATAAAAAATGAAATGGTATCTAAGCCCCCAAGTCTAACTACCCCTTTGAGTTTCACTTCTTTCTGTGAATATTAATAAACATTGTGTGCCTTTTCTCCTGTTAGTATGTCCTTTGTTAGTTTAATTTGCAGGCCCTTGTCAATAGAACTTAAGAGTGTTTTTTCCCTCATACCATGCACCCTACAACATGTGTGGATGACCCTGAGGGGTTCTCTGCCTTTTGCCACTGGAGGTGAGGGTGCCTCCTCACAGCTTGATTCCATGCCTCAGCATTGTAGGAATTTGCCAAAGCTATTTTTGTGATGGCTGTCTGTTAGAACGGTTTAGTAAATACCTGTTGGCTGATTGGCTGAGGACATGTTAACAGGAATTAGCAGAGAACAGCTTTCTTCTAAGGAGTTGTAGTCAGACTCAGAATGGAAAATGGAGTAGAAATAGTCAGATGGTAAGGTGGGGCTTGGAAGAAGAATTGAAAACGTGTTTCCTGAGAAGTTTGCTGAAAATTGTCAGAGGTACAAAGTGATAATGTTGTTGGTTTCTTTCATTTTGCATAAGAAAAAAGGACGCTCACCAAAGGTAAAAGGGAACTGTTGGCTGATTTGAAAAGAATTGACCACCCAGTCATCTAGAAAGGATGTTTCTCATCGGAAAAATATTCCAAGGCAGGAATTTTGTTTAGAGAATGTAGATTACAAAGTCTCTTGACTGTAATCCCCAAAGACATGTTGGTAAAATTTAGTTTCCTAGAATAAGTGTGTTATTAAGCCTCTGGAGAAAGACAATACATGACACATCTTTAAAAAAAAAATATTTGGGTATCGTATGGAGAAGATGAATCACTATGTTGTTCACCCGAAACGAATGTAACATCGTGTCAACTCCACTCAAATAAGAAAATTTTAAAGAAATATTTAGGGATCACAAGGGGAGCCTCTGATTCAATTTTTCATTGTGCCACACCAGGCAGGACAAGAAACAAACTGCTTTTAAGTCTTAAATGAGAAATAACGTGGTTACAAAACGTTGCTGGTTTAGTGTGATTCACAAGCCATTGCAATGCCAGCCAAGGGAAGTAGGAGCCAAACCCGGGCTGTGGACCGAGGACCGGACAGCCCCACCCGGCAGGGGGATGGTGGAAACATCCTTCCACGTCTGAGAGCAGAGCGAGGTGAGCCTGTTACTGGAGAGCCCGAAGCGGACCAGTCTGGCTGTGCAGGCTTCAGGAGGTCCTTCGGCCAGGTGGTGAGATACCATCTCTGAGATGGGGCCGGTTGCCCCGGGTCAGACTAGAAGAGGCTGGGGTAGGGGTCTCCCCACCCACCGCCACCCCCGGCTGGCTCACATCACGGAGACCACAGTGCAGAGGAAAGCAAAGAGGGGAAAAAAAGAACCCTGGATCGGGAGTATACACACACGCAAATAGGAAAAGTCTGGTCAGCTGAAAAGGAAGGAGAAAAAAGGGGAAAAGAAAAATGCAGCGTGGCTAGCCCTTGTGGTCAGAAGCGAGAATCCGTGAAAACTGGTCGTTCTTACTCTCTGTGGGCAGAAGTTTCAGCCGGGCCAAGGGCAGATAAAGGAATCCAAGGCCGATTGCCAAAGACCGGAGGTAAAAGACTCCCGAGGAGTTCAGAAGTTCAGGAAAATAAAAGAGGATTATCGCTGAAGGGTTCTGTGAACCAGAGATTAGGTGAAATGACAGGAAGCCCTGGGAGTGGCCAGGGGGCGGGGGTGGGGGGAGAAGGACAGGCACTGAGCGCCAGCCCCGAAGGCGATGTGTGCAGGGCGGGGGGGGGAGTCGGTGCTGGAAGGCGGGCAACCTCAGGTAAGCCGATTGAGGTGGGCTAGCCTTGCTTTTCAAAGCGCTTCATCAACCGAATGAGCTCCTAAAAAAACAGATGGGGCCGGAGAGGACAGTGGAGGACTGTTTCCAGGCAGGCTCCGTTTTCCCGGTCTTGGAGAGAAAATTCCTTCTGCCATGGCCTTTCTTTTTTTGTGTGTTCAAAACGTGTCAGTGCTATATGTGTACGTGCATACATGTATACGCTGTACGTATATACATATGCACCCGTACATAAATGCGCACACACACGCGCGCGCACACACACACACTCCCGTTTTACATAAAACCATGCCTGATTAGAGAAGGCGTTCAGAGAGCTGCATGAACAAAGGAAGACAGAGAAGCAGGACTGCGCTCGGGGCAGCCCCCCCTTGGGGGACCCCCCACCCCCCTCCACGGAGTCTAGGCGGTAGGAGATAATGAAAAATATGGAGAGGTAGTTAAGTGGAGTGTAGGCAGGGCAAATCAGAGAGCTGAGTTACTGCACAGAACAGGAGACAAATCAACAGGAAAATATTGACAGCAAAGGAAGAAAGACGGAAATCTATGTAGATGATGGGTGTGAAAGATCAAATGGAGACCAACACACACGAAAGAATGAAATCTGAAGCAGAAGGCAAGGCAGGTCCTAATCAAAACCTGAAGCAGGAAGGCCCATTGAGGAGAGTGGAGGGAGTCACAATGTGGATAAAAATTAAGATAAAGAAAGACTGATGAAAAGAATTTTGTAAAGATACAATTTTTAGTATGCTCAAGTTTCGAGGCTTTCTTAAGAGGAAACAGATGGGACAGAATATTTAGATTTTAAAGGCCGAAATTAGAGCTTGAAAGGTAAGAAAGAAGATAAAGAATGTGTTGTTGTTGTTGTTCAGCTAGACTTACTGTTGATTTAAAAAATAATAATTTTCAATATTTGGTCATAGGGTTTTGATGCATTCTTAGAAATTTGAAATGACAGCCAAAAAATAATTCAGAGATAATTTTTTAAAAAAGACTTTATTTATCTACGAGAGAGAGAGAGCACGCGCACAAGCAGGGGGAGGGGCAGAGGCAGAGGGAGAAGCAGGCTCACCAGGCAGAGCAGGGAGCCTGATGTGGGGCTCGATCCCAGGACCCTGGGATCATGACCTGAGACGAAGGCAGATGCTTAACCGACTGAGCCACCCAGGTGCCCCCAGAGATCATTTTTTTCAAAACACAATCTATTTGCTCTATTTCTTTCAATCTCTCTGGGTGCATACACACACACACACATTCAGATATTCTTTTTCTGAAACATTTGCAGACATCATGATACTTCAGTATGTATTTCCTGTGAGTAACAACATTCCCCTACGTGCCCACAAAACCACCATCCTACCTAAGAAAACCAGTAATAAGTCCACAGTATCTAATGAGCCGTCCTACCAGCAATGCCAAGAATCGTTTTAGCTGTTTGTTTTTAAACAAGAATCCAATCAAGGTCACCATCGCATGTGCTTATTTTGTCTCTTGGGAGTCTGTACACTTTCTAGCCCAACCTCATCATTTGGAGCATGACAAAAATTCTGTCGGGACAAGGTGACTTTGGCTCAAGGCCATTGCTCTGAGCACCTGCTCCATTTTACCTAGGCGAGATTTTATGGTTAAGATAGCTTTAAGTTTTAAAATAACTTAAAAATGATCAGTATCAAAACTGTCATCATAGCACAAGAATTACCACCGCTCCAAGCAGTACTGAGCCCTCTCCGTGTGTCAGATGGTACCCGGGACATCTGCATGCCGGAGCTCAGTTAAGGCTTCCGCACACCCTGGGCTGCCGGCATGGAGAGCCCTCTAAGGTCCCCGTTGGTCTCCTTCGCACAGGAGAGACTCCCGAGGGCTGGCGGCTGGCGGAGGACCTGGATGGCCCTTCTCGGAGCCTTTTTACCACTCTCCTGGCCCGACACCTCACAGCGCCAACGCATAATGCCGCTTCTGAGTGTATTTCAAGACGTTATCTGTAAAGTGCATGCGACCCTGGAGAAAAATGGCAAGACGAGGTAAAATCTTCAGTCTTTGCCGCTTCGCCCCAAGCAGACTAAAGGGAGCCGTAGGCCACGTTTTGGCAATGAAGGGAGACTGTAGAACACTTCTTAACACTAAGAGGAAGGACAGATTATGCAAATAAGAAGTGCTCTTTGTGTTGACAAGTGAACCTCTGTTCAGAGGCGAATTAATAGAAGTGGATCTTTCTCTTTCTGCTTTTTTTTTTTTTTTCCCTTGTAAATGAAATGAAGATGCCAGGAGGTTTAGGGTAGATATTATGCTTTATTCGCCTTTCCATTCCCAGGATTTAGTGCATCATCCAGAATATACGTAGGTATTCAGATAATACGTTGTTTCAGCAAATAGTTCCTGAACACAGTCTGTGTGGCTGGTGCTGTGCGGGCCCCTGCCCGGAGGTAAGAAACAGACACACAGGCTACTTCCAGGCTGTTCAGTACACAGGACGGACAATGGGGCAAGTGCCTGGTGTCCTGGGCACCAAGGGGGATCACCTGATACAGGTTAGGGAGGGACAGGAAAGGCGTCCAGGAAGAAGTGTCATTTCAGTGGAGACTGAGGGTAGAGTAGCAATTCAAGTTTGCTGAGCTGAATGGGTGGATGTTCTTTTAAGGAGCTTAAAGCCACAGGGCAAAGTAAACCATCCACACAGACCTTTCTTGTTTGAATTGGCAAATGATATCTACAGTCCATGAGCTGCAAGAAACAGGTGACAGGGGTAGCCTGTGTGTAGGAAACCAAGTCACCAGGGCAGGAAGGTACACCCTTTGGCACCTCTTGAATTATTTACTGATTTTTTTGAGTTACTAAAAGTGAATGTATGTTCTTTTTTTTTTTTTAAGATTTTCTTTATTTATTTGTCAGAGAGAGGGAGAGCACAAGCAGGGGGAGTGACAGGCAGAGGGAGAAGCAGGCTCCCCGCCGAGCAGGGCGCCCAATGCGGGGCTCGATCCCAGGACCCTGGGATCGTGACCTGAGCTGAAGGCAGATGATTAACCGACTGAGCCACCCAGGCACCGCATGAATGTATGTTCTCGATGTAAGGTCACTGCAGGGAACAGACAGGGAAGGACGTAAACATATCCTCCTTCAGTTTAGTAAAACTTGAGGATGCCGTGGCATTCACAGTAGTCTGAGGGAAGGAGCCATGCTTTCAAATCTGCAACCACTCTGTGGGCTTCTTCAGGGTCCAAAGATGGAAGACCGTGTCGGTGAAGCTGTTGGAGGGAAAGAATGAAAGTGAATGGGTTCATTAAAGAGTAGTTTTGATGAGGAAGTTTTTTTGTTTTTTTTGTTTTTAAAGATTTTATTTATTTATTTGAGAGAGAGAGACTGAGAGAGAGAGCACATGAGAGGGGGGGGAGGGCCGGAAGGGTCAGAGGGAGAAGCAGAATCCCTGCCGAGCAGGGAGCCCGATGCGGGACTCAATCCCGGGACTCCAGGATCATGACCTGAGCTGAAGGCAGTTGCTTAACCAGCTGAGCCACCCAGGCGCCCTATGAGGAAGTCACCCAGGTGCCCCAGAACCTGATTCTTAAAAACCTGATTCTTAAAAACAATCTTTGACACAGATTTTCTCATCCCTTCACAATTGGAGAGGTACAAAGAGGGCAGAAATGGAGACTAATCAATCAAACACTAAAGACCCTGTTTTAGATTGACATGGGTCTGTTACGGAACCTGGACTGGATCACCCGACGGAAGAACCAAGCGGCACTCGGAGATCTTGGAGGATAGGAGGTTTATTTAGAGTGATCTCTAAAGGTCTGAGCCCCGAGCACAAAGGGGGCAATTTATACACTTCTACTTCCGCATAATTGGCACTTACGGCGCGTGTGCAAAGCGCGGCAGGGAGAAGAATCTGGAAGAGCCCCGGAGCAGGGGCTGGGACTCTCTCGCTGGCTCGGTCGGCCATCTTAGGACACAGATTTTCCTTATCATTCCCCCCCTTTGATGCCCCTTTAAACACCTAGTTTAGAGGGCATCATCTTCATCTTCTAAGGGGCGATAGTGAGTAAGGAGTAACTGGAGTCTGATTTTAGCATTTTGAGTAGTGATAAACCTAGTAAGGTCATTAAGAATACAAGGACCAGGGGCGCCTGGGTGGCTCGGTTGTTGGGCGTCTGCCTTCGGCTCAGGTCATGATCCCAGAGTCCTGGAATCGAGCCCCACATCGGGCTCCCTGCTCAGCGGGAAGCCTGCTTCTCCCTCTCCCGCTCCCCCTGCTTGTGTTCCTGCTCTCGCTGTCTCTCTCTCTGTCAAATAAATAAATAAAATCTTTAAAAAAAAAAAGAATACAAGGACCAAATTCTACTATGAGGAGGAGCATTAGGAGGGGGCCTACGAGGGGGGTGAACCAAGGGAGCCATTGTGAGAGGGTATCCCACCAAGTTGTCCGCTGGAGTGATTCCCACCGGCGATGTACTTGCTCCTGTAATTGGGTCAGAGTTTCTTGGACCACCCCCGACTCATTGGCATAGAAACAACATTCCTCCTGTAAGAAGAGGCAGAACGCCCCCTGCGTGGCCGTGAGTAAGTCTAGCCCACACCTGATTTGAGGACCACTGAGGCCAGTGAATTGAGTTGGCGCTGCAGGGCCAGGGCTGACTGAGTAAAGGCAGAAAAGTCCACCGTGAGTTGTTGAGTTAACCCCTGGTACTGAACCTGAGACATCCTGATGCCAGTGGTGCTGAGGGCAACACCCGACACGGCCAGCAGGCTCACGATAAGAGGGATGGCCT